GTGGATAGGCCGAGGTGGCCCTGTGCCTTGGCCTGCGCGGTCACTTGACCTGACTCCACTGGATTATTTTATCTGGAGCTATCTGAAAGCTTTAGTGTACGAAACTCCTGTTCCCAACCAACAAGAGCTACTGGGAAGAGTGATGGCCGCGTCCGCACATGTTCAGGATATACCGGGGGTATGCCACAGAGTTCGCCGATCATTGAACAATCGTGCACAGGTGTGTATTGAGCAAGGTGGAGGACACTTTGAGCAATTACTGTAGGTAAGCTGTTTCAAGAAACTGATCTTTTTTTTTTGCTGCAGCCCAAACGGCATGTTTCCGAACAGGGGTTTATAAGGAAAAATTGTTCATTTTGATGCCCTCTACAACCCCTATCATTTTGTCGCAATAATTATGGAACACCCTGTATATGTATAATGTTATACTTTTATCCAATCTTGATTTACCTGTGTTTTACTCAATTAATGTATTTTTGTATGTTAAAACTGTGCATTTTAGTGGTTGGTATATATTTTTTTGGATGGACATTTTACGGGTTAAGTGGAAGAATAGCTTATGCTAAACTTCGCCCAATAAAGACGTTTTGTTATTATTATTATTATTATTATCATGTACGTTGAACATAAAAATTCCAAGCATTTCTGTACAAGATGTTTACTAATTTGTTGTAGTGTACTTCATGTCATGATACCTATAGGTAAAGTTGCAATAGCACTCTCTCCTAGAAATTTTTCTGATTTTATACTTTCCAAGGCACTTTTTGTAGCAAAAATTAATAAGCCAATTTTGTCCAGAGACATGCAATAAAACGGTTTATATGTTTTTTTTTTTGAAAATGAAGTGAGATATGAAAAATATGCAAGAGGCAAAGAAGTTGTATTTTTAGATGCTTACTCAAAAAACAAATATTAAAGTTACAATAAAGGCAGTGGCTTACATTTTTTGCCAGTAATATTAGCTAACAAGGAATCACCCTCTAAAATATCTCCATCTATTTTTCGAACAGCCTGTATATTTTGCCAAACGCAAGTGCTACTCTGAAATGTCAAATGTCAAAATCGATTTAGCACGTATTTCTAAAATACCTAAACTACGGTGACGTAAAAGAATTTTTTGGAGGTTCCAAAATTTTGAATGTATCTAATTTTTCGTGTCATTTGATCGGTCAGAATGCAGCCTTTCGCTATGAGAAACGTGAGAAAAGTACTGAGTAAATCTACCTGTCCCCGTTCTCTGACAATTTTTCCGTCGGATCAAATTATGGTCACAATTAACTACGTCGGCTTTAAACACTTTATCGCAAGCTTCTGTTAATTTTCCATTTACTATGCTCACTGGTCTATTCTCAAAGCTCAACATGTGGGTTCTTGGGTAGACAGGCGGCAGGATGTTTTCAATATGGGTGACAAATTAGGTGATGATGTATTTAACACCTTTTTCTCGTTCCCAAAACATCATAACTACGAAGACAGGAAATTGGGGGGTGTGGTATACTAATTTGGTGTCTTGCGACTTTGTCAAAACAGACTTAATCTAAATACCAATTTGTCATCTTATGATATAGAGAAAACAGGTGTGACGGATAAATAAAGCAATAAAACCAAAAATAAAAATGCACGGTTGCTCTTTTTGATGCAACATTGAAGGTTGCTATCACGAATTATAGCCGTAGTAACCGCGAAGGCATAGCCTGAATACAGAGAGCTGCAACTTTATAGGCAAGTTCAAGATATCTTGTAGATCCTAGTGATGTAACGGATATTTTCATTCGCAAATATTCGCAAGTCTCTCGATATAACATAAAAAATTGCGTAAGCAAGTGGAATATTTTACAACCGATTGCCGATTAGCTAAGATGGCGTCGAGTAGGTTGACTCTGCGCTTACCGTTCAACGCCGTCATCATTTCATAAAGGATTTATGTTCAACACATGTTAGACCCTTTGAGAAAAAAATTGTTACGAGCATGTATAACAGATAAATTGTACGGATCAAGTCAGTCAAATAGGCCATAATTAGTCCATAGACATTATTTCCCTGCCCTACGGGTAGTCCAAATGGCAACGTCGCATCTCCCCGAAACCTAACCCGGCAGCACGGCAATAATACCAGAACACCCACCAAGACCGACACGCCACCGAGAACAGAAGCAGCCGCGAAACGAAAGCATTTTGATTCTAAGGGCAGGTGTACGAGGAAACCTATGATGTTTGGAATAGATCTAGTGGATGCGTAGATATACCGAGGTTGGGAGCGAATATACGAGTACATATATACTTACATCAAAAAACTGAAATACACCCTCCCCCATCCACCTACAGCGCCCCACGCCTTGTTTTTGTACCCCTAAACATGATTTGTAAAATGCTCAGCCACCTCTGAAATATTGAAAAACGAAATTTGAGCGATTATTATTTATTCCGTTTTTGGCCTTTTTCTCACTCAGCTGAGGTTAGTGAAACTCAGTATTGGTAAACAGAATTGAGCAATCAGTGTGTAAAATGAATGCAGCTGTAATTATGCAATACCAACTTCAGAAAAACAAGAACTTCTTTTTTACCTCTATCAGCATTTGGTCATGAATGTTTTACAAATAAATAAAAACGACGATTCTTTCTAAAGCTTTAGGTTAAAAAGAAAAGTTTCTTACAAACTAAATAGTTAATTGATTTTTTATTTTTATAAACAGCAAAGTAATAATCTAGTTGAACTAGAGGAATATTGAACTTACACACACATTTACATTCGCGAATATCGCTGTATATATTCGCAAAAGATTGGCATTCGTTACATCCCTAGTAAATTCATATTTTGACGTTTCGAAGTTACTAGAACTGGAGAAAGCTTGTTCTCGCATATTTCTGCATATTCCCAATACCCCAAGTACAGAGGAGAGGTCGTATCTGCCAGTTCTCAATCTACACTGTGCCGAGTTGCGATAACAATCAGAAGTCCGACTAAGACTGTCAGTCTTCGTCTTAGTACATTTTCTAAGTTTCTTATCATTTTCGGGTGCTTTTACCGTTTTTGTCTCGTTTTGTATGTGTGTCATGGTATTATTTAATAGACTGTAAAGTCGAGGATTAAAAAAAAGCCAGTAGCTTAGTTTCGGTGTAACTTCGCAATCAGTGCTTCTCCAACGAAACAAAGCAATCTCATCGAAGTGGAGATACTATCACTGCCATTATGACATATTATTAGCGCATTAGGGCTATTGGAGAGCAATTCAATTATCGGAAATGCCACACCGGGCAGTTGCGGGAAGCAAGAAGTGTGACGGCCGACCCCAAAGTGTACGAACTACGAATAGTATGGTCACTCCCTGCAAGAACCACCTGAGATGCTCATTGCGCAAGAATCGCAGTTCCGATTGCAGGGTATACTTTTGCAGAAAGACGGATGGGATATAACCGACTATACCGGGTGTTTCAAATTCGACTCTTACCATCGGAATCTCAGAAACGGTAAGAGATACAAACTTGAGTATAAGGGCACAAAGTTGCGCATTTAGGTAAACTTTCTCTATTCCCAGTATTTCCGGTTTTTCCGGAAATCATTTTTTATTTGAGATTTCAAAAGTACCGTTATCACTTTTTGCCGTCTACAAGGGGGCATAAGTAGAATTTTAATATTTTATATATTTGTTTAACCTTCAATTATTAACTTTCTTTTTCCGTATAGATGTCATATTACATTTTTTTCCACAGGTGAATAGAGTTTTTAATTCTGATTCTAAAAATGTATATGTATTGACATTGCCAATCCTTGATTATTAAAAAACAGAATTTCCTTATCCTTATCAGATAGTCATTTGTTGCATATCAGCCAAGCACTCCTTCAGTTTTTATGAACTTAGCACAGGTGGGCATCCTATTTCCGATGTTAATGTTGCGATATTGGACATATCATGAGATGGATTAGCACTATAAACTTCCAATAACAATAAAGTATTCTTTCTATAGTTGGACGTAACTCATTATCGAACAGCACCGAACACCTTCCAAGCGATGTGGTACAAGGAGGTAAAGAATGGATCTCGATGTAGCTTACATAACTGTGAGTAGCTACTTTTAGCAACAGTATAGTTTCACAAATTCAATCTTTATCAGATCCACTCTCCTGGAACTATATGCATACAAGTGATAATCCAGCAGATTAATTGTCACGCGGAATATCTCGGACAGATTTTCTAAACTCTAATCTTTGGTGATATGGTCTTGGCTGTCACAGGAACAGTCAGATTGGCCTAATTTTCAACAAGTCTTTAAATGATAGTTTTTTTCTCTCGTATTCGTCATCTGAGTTGCTTTATGTGTTTGCCTATATATACAGGTTCAAACTCAAGACTGTCAAAAAAGTGACATATAGTTAGCCCGTTGACCCGGGATGAGCTAGATAATGCTCTAATATATTATGAGGATAAATCAAATATCTTCTTTCACTAACGATTTTCAACTGTTATTCCAGGACAATCAGTCATCTCCGTCTATCTCCTTTTATTGACCCTCATGGACTCATTCGTGTTGTCGGTCGTCTCGAACTGGAACTAGTGATGCAAAGTTTCGTTACTTTTTAGGACTTGTAAGGACTCGTTAATTTCGAACTTTGGACTCGTTAGTTTAGTTACTATTTGGACATTTCGTTTAGAACCTACATTCTATATATTATATCAAATTATTACTTTGGGATTGATCCAATTATTATTTTTTGTCTAATGCCTTGCCTATTAATTTTTTTGATATTTAATACGTAGAAGGTACTTATATTTTAAACTCGTCGTTGTGTGACGTCTCGTTCGTTGGCTATACGCTGTAAATAGTATTTAACGAGTGGCATAACCAGATGGGGACCGTGGAGGAACCACTCTCCTCACTCTTTACTTCAGTTAAGTAGCGTCCCCTGCCCTAACAGTCTGGTTACTCCCCTGCCCTACTTAACAGTCTGGTTACTCCACTGTAAATGGTGTTCAACAAAATACTTATAATAATAAAACATACCTAAAACTAAGTTCCTTTTGCACCTAGGCATATTTTCGTCTTCCACCCGCCGTTTTGCCCTTTCTCCTTCCAATGAAAGAGTCGGATATTTAGTTTTCAAATGCTTCCTTAAATTGCTAATGTTTCCATTTTTATGCGAATAAATATTTTTACAAAGATTAGACTTTGCATTAGCTTCCGATATATTGGTGAAATGCATCCAAATAACACTTCTTTTTTGAGTTTGCGATTCTCCTGAACCGGACGCGGATGATTCCATATTTTTGTACAAATAATAATTATATTATTGCTCGAGCTTGTACGGCAACGTCCAAACCAGTACAACCCGCCAACCGCTAGCTCTCAAAGTCAAATGAAAAGTGTACAGGTGTACACAAACATTGCCAACCTAAAGCTCCGCAGTCCGCAACTCGTTTGATAGAAGAGTATCTAAAGTTGCCTAAGCCTAACGATATTCGCATCATTTCATTTCCACCCAGTTTACATCCAAGAACCAAGTCACCTGCTGCTGGCGTTGGCAGTACTGGCTACATTAGATCCCAATAACGTTTGTATCTAAAGTAATGTATAGTGTAGTAACTAACAGTAATTAAAAAGTATACATAGAAAAAGACCGTATCGCATTCAAAGTAACGAATTCAAATAAAAAGTAACGAGTCTTTTCAAAAAGTAGGACTTGTTACATTTAGTTACTCATTTGTAACGATTATTTTGTAAGCGTTACTTAATTATTTTACATCACTAACTGGAACTACCGCTTTGTGGACGATGAAGAAAACACGTCCGGTTTCTGGAAATGTCTATAGGTCCCTTAAAAAGAACTGACATAAAAAGTTGTTTCACGAGTGGCTTTATTTTTCGCAGTCTGTATACGTTGGCTGTCTCCAACCGCCGACGATCATATATCGCCGATTCCACCACCAGATTACACCTTGTTTTCTTTTTACTTCTATCTCTCTTCCTTCCAGCTAAGTATCTTTTAGTACGGAAGGGGGTTTAATATGTGTTTGATGGGGTAGATACACGGAGATTGCTTTCATCCATACAACAATGTGAATACGACTGCGATTCATCCATATTAGGAATCATCAGTGAGGTATTAGTCGGAATCTTCAAAGTGGGCGATAACGCTACCTTGCGTTTATATGACAGCTATGTCGGAGAGCATTAGAAAATAATTGATTCTGAAGTGGGCAATAGACGCTATAAGTTTGAGAACAGAAGCGAGATTATACCCCTAAGGCTCTGTTCTTCAAATCGAAGGAGTATAGTCAATAGGTTTTCACAAACTGATCTTATAGAAAACAAGGGCGTACAGGGGAACGCTGCACTGAAAAATCTGGACAGAGGTAGCCATCCTAATTACGGCTCACTTAGTAGTTTGGTATTCTGTACAACATATCAATAGTAAATAAATATTATTATTATTATTATTATTACACGCTGTGACACTCACAGGCTGCTGCCTCTCTAGAGGCAATTTGTTTCCCTAGTTCTCAACATATTCAAAGCATGGTCACGGGTTCATTATTTGCCTCCAAAACATTGTGTTTGAATGTAAACTGTCCTAGAAATAGACCATCCAATTCTAGGCATTAAAAAAGCATGAAGACTTTTCCATGGAGCTCCTTTCTTTTTACCAAATTTACATAAACAATTTCTTCGAGAATTTATTCAGACGGATTTCTTCAAGGTCATCCTGACTATGTTTTGCGTTGTTTACATCAATGAACAAATTCATCATAAAGGGAAACAATATTGTTGAAAGCTGTACTTGGCAAAAGTTAGAACAAGTTCTAATTTCGTGAAGAAATAAACGAAGAACTTCATGGATCTCTTTGACGTCAAATTCTTGTTTTAAACTTTTGACATTTGGCAATAGACTCAAGTTATAAAGAAATCCTTGTAACCGGTATTACTTTTTAAACGTCACGAAGACACAAAGTGTAATTGTGATCTATACAACTGGCCTCTACGTAGAATCCTAATTGTGAGAGTTGAACTTGGGACACCCTGTATATATGCGTTATGTGCTTGTGGCATTTATAACAAGCCATTTTAATTAAATTTTCTCCATTCGGTATATAGAAGAAATATCTCCCGTGGTATTCCCAACCAACACACCCTCCTATAATTAAGCAAGATACACGTCATCCACAGTGAAGGAGGAATTTCATAAATTTGATAGGTGGAAATCCCTCTTCCTTGGTTTACTCTATGACTAATTGTAAGTCTGTATTTCCAAGGTATATTCAAGCAAGTAACTTGATCAATATCCACTAAACCTGTAACTTCAGCTTATAGTGCCACACTTATGAGACAAGGAAGAAATTGGGTCTAAGTGTCGAATACTTACTCTTTTCTGGAGGCCTCCTTATTGTAAGGATGCATTATTTGTCGTTTTATTAAGAACTGACAAGCGAGCTGTCAAATATTAAAGAAAGAAGCGGCCTTTTAGATTTGAGGCCTTGTTCGTACTGTGCGGAATTACGTGGAAAATCTGACGAGCTCCATCTCCAGAACTATTAGATCTATACTGCACTAATGATCACAAAATAACTCTGTCCGCGTTGTGTCATGGTTACACAGGCGGAAAGCAAACATGTCCATAACCCATTAGTACTTCTTGATATCAATTATTAATTCGATGCTTAATGCATTATCTAAATAGTATAGATAAGAACCAAAATGAGTAGGGCCCTGGATTCTTTGAGGGAAGGTTTGAAATAAGGAATCCTTGACGTTAAAAACAACAAATAGGCCTCAAAACAATCAGACCCCCCTCTTCCTTTAGAAATATATTTACCAAGTCTCCAGTTGCTCGCTTATGTCGAACCGCAGTTATAACTTTGAAGAGAAATGAAGCGTCTGTACTATGAGGAGGCTTCAAGCGAAAGACTAAACGCCGCACTATAAAGGATAATGTTAAACGTATCGTCGCTCTGATTGCGTAAGGGCGTATCTCAAAAATTGCAACTTGTCAGAAGTCACTTCCAAAGATTTTATTTAAGTTTGGATTGGATGTAGATGGAATGTATGTCAGCTTTGCAATTTCTTTTATGCGGTTCAGGCAGCCTATATTTTATATGCTTCTTACTTCAGGATATTCATATTTTTTGTGTTTATTACTTATTTAACTTTGAATGCCTGATGATTAGATGTTGCCTTTGCTGAGTAGCGAACAAAGGGCACTCAAATAACTACGAGGGATGTCTTTTAAGTTTTGCATATGGAAATAAAACAACACGGTAGATAGTTTTAAATGACTTTATTGTTTTTCGAAGTATTCTCCAGGAAGATTAATACACATCTGCATGCGCTCGAACCAATTTTCGAAGCACTTATTCCACTAGTTTGCTGGCAGATCCAAAACGGCATTTTTGAATGCGTCAACTGCTTCTTCTCGTGACTGGAACCTTTGACCACGCAGTCTGTTTTTAATTTTCGGGAAAGTAAATAAATCATTAGGACTTAGATCTGGACTATATGGAGGATGATCCAATAATTCCACGTTTTCTTCCGTTAAATACTGCTTTGGTTTTTTGAGCTGTGTGCGAGCTTGCATTGTCTTGGTGGAGGATAATTCTTCTTTCGGGGTTGATTTTTCGAAGCTCGGTGATGACTTTTGGCAAACAAATGGTGGTATACCAATCCGCAGTAACAGTTCTTTGCTCATTAAGAGGAATTGTTGCAATATGACTCGCTTTTGATACAAATGTCGCGACCATCTTTTTCGAAAGACTTCGAGAACGGAAGACTTTTGTTGGCTTTTCTTCACCCAAACAGCCGACTGTCGTTTATTTTCTGGTTCATAACAGTAAATCCACGATTCATCACCACTAACAATGCTGTACACATTTTTTGAGTTTCCGGAATTGAAACGGTCAAGCGTTTTTTGACACCAATTAACCCTGGCTGCTTTCTGCTCTTCAGTCAACAAAACTAATTTTCTGACTCCTAATTCTTCATGTAATTTTTTTTTTAATTGAGGTCTTTGAGATCTTCAAGGACGCCTCAATCTCGCGATATGTCACATGTCTATCTTCAATGATGAGTTTGCGCACAGCATCCACGTTTTCCTGGGTGACTGCCGTTTTTGGTGCAGCCACCCTGGAATCGTCGCTAAGACTCACCCGTCCAAGTTTGAATTCTCCATACCAACGGGAAATTGTCGACTGATGTGGCGCTTCGTTGCTGAAAACAGTCAGAACTCAGCAAGGCATTCTTGTTGTGATAATTGTCTCTGAAAGTTGTAATAAATTATTTTATGATTTTTCTAATGACTTGGTGACACTTAAAAATTTAAGTTTACTGAAGAGTGAGGTTAAGATTCAGTACTGACGTTCGATCCGCGCGGCTACTATGTTTCTATATGCAAAACTTAAAAGACATCCCTCGTAGTAGTAATAGGAATATCAAATTTCTTGGTTTCCATCTTGAGACGCAAATGAAATGGGAACTTCATGTATATGAACTATCAGGGGGGAGGGAGATTAAGCAAAATTATTTTTCCAGTAATATAGCTTTCTTCAAAGCATGATATGCCCCTGTAACCACACGACTGTCGGCATGGCCTTGTCAAATAATCGAGCGCATCTTGAAACACGCCAGATTCTGTTCAGGACCATCCCAACATACAAATCAGCATATCTCGGAATACGCCTTTATGTTGGGATAATTTCTAGCTAAAAATGACATGCTGAAAACAGTCAGAACTCAGCAAGGCATTCTTGTTGTGATAATTGTCTCTGAAAGTTGTGATAAATTATTTTATCATTTTTCTAATGACTTGGTGACACTTAAAAATTTAAGTTTACTGAAGAGTGAGGTTAAGATTCAGTACTGACGTTCGATCCGCGCGGCTACTATGTTTCTATATGCAAAACTTAAAAGACATCCCTCGTAGTAATAATAGGAATATCAAATTTCTTGGTTTCCATCTTGAGACGCAAATGAAATGGGAACTTCATGTATATGAACTATCAGGGGGGAGGGAGATTAAGCAAAATTATTTTTCCAGTAATATAGCTTTCTTCAAAGCATGATATGCCCCTGTAACCACACGACTGTCGGCATGGCCTTGTCAAATAATCGAGCGCATCTTGAAATACGCCAGATTCTGTTCAGGACCATCCCAACATACAAATCAGCATATCTCGGAATACGCCTTTATGTTGGGATAAATTCTAGCTAAAAATGACATACTTTTTCATGGAATAGCGACTTGTAGTCGAATCAGAGATACGCCCACATGGTGAGCTGGAGTTTTGTGGGGCAAGATCTATCAACATCTCAATTTAACGGGAAAGAAGTGACAATGTATGTATATTTTCAAATTTGAAATCACTGTAGTGCTGCTCGTGGTGTAAGTCTTTTCGTCGTTCCTCCATCGCGTGTTTTATATGTCAATTGGTATTCGAAATATTGCTGTATCAAACAGAGGCAAGACACTATCTAATGATTGAATCCATATCTTAATGCTTTGATCATATCAGTATTGATATGTCTACTAATTGTAGTTTCTTCTGTTATTATAGACGGCGCGAGTCTTAAAACCCGTCTTGCCAGTGAGGAATGACATCTGGAGATCAAATAGAAGCTAACGGTTCTTCCACCTTACGACGATATAGACCTACACCACTGGTAAGCAATTCATAATGTAATTTTGTTACCCGTGCAGTGACTTCGACTCAAATTCATTTTTCTTTCGAGAATACAAAAGTCGATGTCCCTCAAAGTATCGTATTTAGGCCAATACTTCACTTTGGCATTTGACAAAAATTCCGAAATTTCATCAAACTGGTAATTATACGAGGCTGTGCATTTGGTATCAACACATCATATGGCTTTTGCTCCCAACTGAGATATTATTTATAATAGATGTCAAACCATTTGTACAGGGTACCACCTACATGGATATTAATGAGAAAATTGATAATTGCCCAACAGCTATTTCAAGCCGTCAACTGCTTCTGCACTACGCGCCAGTAGAGATCAACTTTCAGGCCACTATATCAATCAATTTGAACCTTTATTTCATAGAGGATGTAAACGTTATGATTAAAGACCGGATTTTAAGCAATTTTGCTTATACGCCAATTTGTAAGCAGTATATAAGTAATGCCGTTTTAAGTACAAAGTAAATAAAAAAAACTATTAGTTTTTCAAAAAAAGTGCTTTTTTTGCTTTTTTTCTTAATTTCAAGCTTATTTTCTAAATTTGCGCTTATTTTGAACTTTTTTCTTTAAATATCTTATTTTTTTCTACCTATTCAAAGGCTTAACCAAAAGTGCTCCTCAAACTGGGACGGACGCGACGCGACACGTCAGAGATATGGAGTGGGGGAGAATAACTATTTCGATGCGCGAACGAACTAATCATAAATTTCGCCATTTTCTAGTAAAAACTTGTCTGGGAGTGTTAAAAAGTAGTCGTTTTGTATAGAAAATTTGTTTACTGTGAGCTTACGGAAGAGCGTCAAAAAGTATCTTTTTCGTTCTTTAATGCTGGTTTTAGTAGAAATACATGTAGGAATTTACAGAATGTCTCGTTGATTCGAACCGAAGTCACTAAAGTACACAAAGTTTTATCACTTCACATTGTTAAAAATTTCATTAAGAACAGAGTTGCCTAGAAAATGGCGGTCCCTTGAAATGATGCACACTCTTCGAAACTCATTCTCCCTTCTCCATTTCTCTGGTGAAACCCCGATCAGTGTTTGTGTGTTCGTGCAATTCTAAAAATAGATGTGCGATACGCAATTCTAGGCTGCTAGTAGGGTGCTCATGGTTAAGATATTTTAAATAAATAACAGATCGTATACCGTGTCACCGATCCTCCAAGTACAAGTGAATAATTAAATAATTTTTTGTGGTGACCTAATACTGTGCGTAAATAATCAAAGATGTCAAAAGTAAATTATACTAACCTCAAGGTCTGGATCAAGGATAACCCGGAATTAAAAATTGAAAATGGAAAAGTATTTTGTCAAGCTTGCATAAAAACGGTAAGTTTTTCATAACATTAGGTATACCGGATGATTATTGATTATGATTAGTCCTAGAGCACATAGAAAATCCCATATTAATCCTACCTACCAAACTTGAATGCATTCTGCTTAGTGTTGTAAAATGTTCGAGAATTTTTTTTCGAGAACGTTCCTCGAGCACGAACGAAAATTTTCAGTACATACGAGTATAAATGAAGAAAAATAAAACAAAGGAAACATATTAGGAAAATATCTGAAATCAAAAAAGTCTGCGCTCTAATTGTGCTCTATTTATTAAGTTAAAAATAATATCAATCCACTTATCTCTTAAAACACTTATGCAATCTCTTAAAATTCAAAGCATAAAATAAACCGATCTGTAAATCCCCGAAAACCAACACTGTCAGATGTCATTGGTGTCAACGATCGACGACAGCCAACCTAATGCGAGGCGATCCGGTGTTGCAACGTCTCGTTGCTAAAGGACCGTTCATACCTAATGTTAACGCTAATGCTATGGGAACGTTAAAATTCTTGGGGTTCGGATTTATGCTCTTGAAAATAAATGTCACAAATAAAGTCGCGAACGATCTCTGAGAATAAATGAGAATGTTCCATTGCTCGCAACACTAATTCTGCTAAGCTGTTTTTGTAAAAAATATATTGTTAATCTAACCAATGTCAAAGGTAAGCTGTCATTGATTTCGATAGTTACTAGTAGCTGCATTCATAAATTAATGATACTCAATTAAAAAAATAATTGCAGTTCAGCCACATTTTGCGAATAGTACAAAAATAGCTGAACTCATGCACACTTTTTATTTATTTGTGCATATTTGTGCATTTGTACAATCATGTTTTTTCTATTTAGACTTTATTTTAGGTAGGTCAAAATTGATTTTAAAAAAAAATATGAATGAGCCCATGTAATCACTAATCAGTTTGGCAGGTATTCTAATCTAACAAAATAAATAATCCAATTCTTTAAAAAATTTCATGAGATGAGATTTCCTGTATGTCCTAGGACGATGCATCAGCCATTAATTTTTATACAGGCATCAAGTAAAAACTACTTCATTTATTGTAGATTGTGTGTGTTAAAAAGTACGACGTAGTTCAACACCTGAAAACGAAAGTACACTCGGAACAAATGAAGAAGTATAAAGTTGATAAGCTTAAACAACTAACAATTGGTTCTTCCATGGCATCTGCTTCGGGCCGTAGTGAACAACAAGAATTTAATCAGGATCTCTGCAATGCCATGTTAAAATCAAATATTCCTTTAAACAAGTTGAAAAACACTCACTTTAAAGAATTTTTGGAAAAACACTGCAAACGAAATATACCAGATGAAAGTACTTTACGCAAAAACTATATTTATCCTGTATATCGCGATACAATTCAACAAATTAGAACAATAATTGGAAGCAATTATATATGGTTTACTGTTGATGAAACTACAGACAGTTGTGGGCGGTATATTGCAAACTTAATGATAGGCGTTTTGTGCCACGAGGTTCCTACAAAGGGATATTTAATTAGTTCAAAAGAATTGAGCATAACAAACAGTAACACTGTATCAAAATTTGTACATGAAGGGTTAGCAAACTTCTTTTTGCCAGAAGCTGTACCAAGTGAAAAAGTACTACTTATGCTCTCAGATGCAGCTTCTTACATGGTTAAGGCGTCCACAAACTTGAAAGTTTTTTACGGCAACTTAATTCACTGCACCTGTTTAGCTCATGGGATCAATCGTATTGCCGAAACCATACGCTTACAATTTCCGTTAGTAAATAAGTTGATCAGCAATGGCAAAAAAATATTTGTTAAAGCGCCTTTGAGAGTACAAATGTTTAGAGAACATTGTCCAAATATTCCACTGCCTCCAGAACCAGTGTTAACCAGATGGGGAACATGGCTTGACGCCGCTATATAATTATGCAGACCATTTCCAAAATTTTAAAAATTTGATTTTTGAATTTTCCGAAAGCACAAGTAAATCACTACAAGAGTGTCAGATCGTTCTTAACAATAGAGAGCTCCAAAACAATTTGGCTTTTATCAAAACCAACTTCAGTTGCATTAGCAAAACTATTAAATCATTGGAAAAGCAACAAGTTCCTTTGGTTGATTCAGTTGCTTTAATAGAGGATTTCAAAAACACTATTAATACTGTTCCAGGAAAAATTGGCGGCTTAATTAAAAATAGAATGAGAGAGATTTTTGAAAAAAATATTGGATTTCAGAAACTGCTTCAAATATCGTCAGTTTTAGGTGGCGAAAATGTTCCAGAATTAAATATGTATCCAGATATTATTTCAAAGTTTAAATACGCTCCTATTACAAGTGTAGACGTGGAAAGGAGCTTTTCAAAGTATAAATATATCTTAGACGATAAAAGGCATAATTTGACAGTGGAGCATTTGGAACAGTATTTAATAATAAGCTGTTTTCAGAACGATTAAATTATATTTATATTTATTTATCTTATATTTATCTTAAGCTGTTAAAAAGTGTTTAAAGTTTTATTTCTACTGTTTTGAAGTGTTTATTTTGTTTTATTTGTGAATTAAATACATACAAAAATAAATTTTTTTATTTTTTTTTCATAAAAAAACGGACTTACCACTAACTGTCTCAGCGCTTCACCTGGTGTATGAAAATTTATTGAACGTATTAAAAAAATCCACTTATAAATAGCGAATACAATTTTGATACATAATTTGTTTTTCTTTTTAAAACCCACACTGCACTTTTTTGTATTTAAAGAAGGTGTTCAAAATGTCGTCCACCACTTTTTCCACAAGCTTTATTACGACGAACCCAGTTTCTTCTTACTCTAGGTCCTCGAAGTTGTTGTGCTTCAGTTGTTATTCGACCAGCCCCATAAACCATCCCTTTAAGTTCTCCCCAATACCAGACATCCATCGAAATGAGGTCAGGAGATCTTGCTGGCCATTTTCGAGAATCAGGAGCATTTCGACCGATCCAGCGATTTGGATAATGTTCATTCAAATACTGAATGACGCCTCTAAAAATATGTGGTGGTGCCCCGTCATGAAGAAACCACAAATTCTGTCTCCGTTGTAATGGCATGTTGTCTAAGGTCTGTTCCAAAAGTTCTGGTAGGTTATTGTCTAGAATGCTAAGGTATCCTTCTCCTGACAACTTTGGGGGTAACTCGAAAGGGCCAATTACCTGATCGTCAAGAATATCAGCCTAAAAATATTGATTTTAAAACGTTGTTGGAAATGACCTTCACGAATGGTATGAGGATTTTCTTGGGCCCACGTGTGAGTATTATGGAAATTTTGGCTTAACTTAGAAAAACTTAATGCCATTTATTTGTTAATTACCCAATTTAAAAACGTTTTAGATTAGATTATAAAAATTAATAAGATTGTGGTAATTTTGGTCGATATAAAGCACTTAAAGTTGTAAACTATAAAGCCATTTAGACAAAAAATCTATTGACTTTTGGACCATGGGTCATATGAACTTTTTCACTTGTTCTGACCCCCTATTGCCCATTTCAATAATGACTACCATAATGTTTACACCCTGTATATGTTATGTGGTGCCTGGAAGTTGGGACTTTCGCTTTCAGAGTCGACTACGTTTGCAATAACAAATCAAATTCTCGGCAAAAGCACAC